AAAGCTGTGACGTACATGATTAATGCACCCTGGTAATCCTGTGAGTTATTAGTAGAATCCTGGAGTCTTTTGCATGTGATTTAATGAAGGTAAACGCAGTGTAGACTTGTGTGTAATAACACAAGGATACAGATTATCAACATACATCTATCTTGCCTAGATTTACTGAACTGAAGGAGAAGCGTCTCCTACAATAAAAAGCATCCAGATAATAATCACTCATTCATTTATAGAAAAATGCAGATTGTTTTACTGGACTACACCAAACGTTATTTATATCAATTTAAATGTTTGTTTGGAAAGTGTTTATTAAGATAGCTTAGTTCTATTTTAACCAGTACGCTGGTATTGCAGAACAAAAGTCACCTAATTGAAAAAACTTGACTTCATTACACAGGGTTGCAGAAAGATTTACTTACTAAAAATCATATGAATTTGACTCATGCTGCAAGTTTAAAGTTCATCTTTTTCTTCTTTCCAAAACTGCATAATAAACAATTTCAACTTTACGACCCTAATGTCGATATGTAAACAGCAACACACACATAAAGATACTGTCATACTGTCATTCTGTCTTTGTATTCAAGTTGCAGTTGCAGTTTGATTTAAGTTAAACTTCAATGAAACTGCTACAGAACACAAAACTGCTACGTAAATCACATGTCCTGTGTTCAGAAACCTTGGCGCCCTTGAATTAATTTATCAAACACCATTAATTCTCTATGTAGATGAAGAACTTGTTTCCGTACAGCCAATTAAACTGCTACACACACACACACACACACACACACACACACACACACACACATGGTAACGTGTTGCCTTTCTTATGTTTCCACAGTGGCCACCCTGGAGGTTATGATGGACGCTCTGTTCCTCCCTATCCGTTTCCTCAAGGTAGGAAGCTTTACAACGTTATCTGGTTTTCAAACCACAGAAACACAACAACTGTCAGAACTTATTGATCAGAGATCTGTTGTGATATATAGGGGAATTAATAACTGAAATGTGTTTTAAAATGGGGCAAACAAGGATCATTTGACAAATTGAAGCGAATGTACATTCCCAGTGATTCATATCATTGATTGTTGTTGGAAACACATTTATTTTCATCACCTGCTGACATTATCATCTGACAGATCCCTGATTGGATTTGAACAAAGTCTCATTTCTAGGAAACATTTGAACACAAAGTAATAAAATCTTTGGCTCCCCTCCTCTTTACCTTTTTCAGGTGCTTACCCTCCACCCATGGCTGGAGGTGTGCCGCCTCCGTGGCCCCCAATGATGGACAACTCTAAACCCTGGGAGTACTATCCCCGTAGAGACGAAAAGAGAGAAAAGGAGAGAGAACGGCCCAGAGAGAGGACGCATGAACGGGAAAGAGAGAGGGAGCACAGCCCTTCAGCTATGAGCTACACCAGGTAAGAGGGACATATATATATATAAATATATATTTATATACACATTTTTACCATAGAATGGGCTTGCTTGCTATGCATGCAAACGTAACGTAATAAAATGCAACCTCTTTGTCAACTTCCATAGTGACGAGGAGCGGTATCGTTACCGCGATTACCAGGAACGTGGTTATGGAGAGCGACATCGTGACCGGTCGAGTCGAGAGAAAGAGGAAAGACACAGAGAGAGGCGGCACCGAGAGAAAGAGGAGGGACGCCACAAGTCTTCTCGCAGGTACATAAACACACACACACACACACACACACACACAGTTTTAACTTCTCTCTTAGACTAATAGACCATAAACCGCTCCCCTGAACAGTGATTGTCCATTTACAAAATGTATCTAGGCACTGCAGGCCTGTCAAGACTTAGATTTCTCAGGGTGCACGAAGGTATTCTCCACTGAGTAGAAGCTGATACTAAAAACTATTGGAGTTCAGGCTAATGTTAGCAGGTCTGTCCTGCCCCTTTATTGGAATTGGAGGAATTTAAATCATATTGTAAATCCAGTATCGTGAATTGTATCAAATTGTGAGTTGAGTGTATCGTTACATCACTAGCATATTTGGGTGGCAATCGCTCCACCCGGCTGCGTCTTTGCTAAGGTGCTGGAAGCCTCAGTGTGTCCAAACTGATATTAAAGATTTCCACACACTTGGATCGATGCAATACAGTCTTTGTGTAAAACGAGTGATGTGGATGATTATTTCCTGTTCAGGGAAATGTTTAATACAATTCTGTCTGTATTATGTTTTTATTTTTTATAATTTATTTTATAATAGGCTTCTTATAGACAAAGTCAGTGGGTTTTTTTGTCCCTGACACTTGGCCATTGTTCTATTAGACTATTTACATTTACTTTTCTTCACAGAAGTGAACCAAATGCTGAGATACAGGCCTACTGTGTATATTTTTAAAGTTTTGTAGCATGTTTTAAAATCAAGAACCTCTGAAATCAAGGACCCATTGTGAAAAAATGTTGGTATCTTTGTAAACTACATGTTGTGAGAACGGGGGAGACTGGCAGGTGATTTCTCTGCCATTTTCTTTAACCTTTTGTTCCCTCTCCATTTCACTTCACCTTTTCTTTCTTTCACCCATCGATCTTCTCGTCTCTGTTTACCCCTCTCCTCCCCCTCTTCTCCCCTCCCTGCCCTTTACTATCCTTCTGATCTCTTTCCTCTACTTCTCGAATATCCCCACTCTTCACCTCCTCTGCCCTTTCGGCACATTGGCCTTTCTCCTTCCATTAGCAGCAGTAGCAGGAGGAGGCACGACAGCGAGGAGGGCGACAGCCACCGGAGGCACAAACACAAGAAGAGCAAGAGGAGCAAGGAGGGTAAAGAGGCCAGCGAGGACATCGGCGCAGACCAAGAGAACCAGGAGGCCATGGAGTAGTGATTACCCCCTCCTCTTTTTCCTTGCGCTGTTTGTCTGTCCCTCTATGTCTCCGACCACCAAGATGAAAAAGAAGGAAAGGGAGAAGATGAGACCAAGAAAAGCGGGAAGACGCAGATTGATCGATGCGTCCTGTCACTCCCCTCTCCATCAATCTCAGTTTTCCTCCACCCCGCTGTCGTTCATCCTCACCATCACTTCAGACGGAGAATGGATGGAGTGGAGGAGGTGGTGAAAGAGGGATGATGGTCCTTTTTACTTCTTCTGTCTTTCCATCACCAGCTGACATCAGACAGGACATCAATCTGTCTTTAACCTCCTCTTCCCTCTCCTCTCAGAGCAATGCTGTAACAATTAGGTCATGCTCAGAGATTTCCCCGTGTAGTCTGGACGATCAGCAGATTTTGCTCTTTTTCCGTCATTTTGTTTGTTTGTTGTCCTTTTGTTCTTGTCCTGTATGAAGACATCTATAGAGAGCTCTCAGTTTAAGTTCAATTAAAAAAACACTTTTGATATGACTTGTCTTTGTGATTTTTAACAAAATAAATATCCCAATTATTCTGCACATACATTAGTTTCCCGATAGTGACTCATATTTATATCACAAGCGTTGGTGATTGTATAGTCATAAAAAAATCATTTGGGGTCTGAAATATCATTCACTCAAAATCTGCTTTGCTTCTTGTTTCTCTTCCCAGCTTAAATCTGAGTTTAAGACTTGTACGTACAAGCAACCTGACAGTGAAACCAAATTCATCCAATCCCAGTCGATTCTGCATGACCTTACAATTTTGTCCAATCACCACAAGTTTGTATCAAAACATCAAGCCATACGTAACCACACTGTCTGAACAGTGCGCTTTTATTCTCACAAGTTGCCTTAAATTTTTGTTTAATTATTAAAACATTTGCAACTAATTTTCACTATCTCTTAAAAGAGAAACTAAAAACATCACATCATCAACATCAGCATCACAATTTTTGTTTTTGTTTTTGTTTTGATCAATCACTGGCTCTAAATTGGGCCTTTTGCGAGTTTTGCAGCCACCGTAGTTTCTCCAAGACGGCGATTATTATTACTTTCGACACAATCTCCAACTTCCCCTCTATTTCCTGCTAAATCCTACGCACTGTTTCTTTAACATTTGTGTGATTTCAACACAGTTCTCTGTGGGGTTATCAGGAGGGGGCAAAGTCAAGTGAACTTCTAATTAATGTTTGATTTGAAAATACTGCAAAGCAAGACTTTGCTGGAAGCATTTGGACTTGTCAATAATATGGTTGACTTGTTTGTCAAGTGCTCAGCTTATAAAATGTGTATTGTTAGAAATTAAACATATAAACAGTGTACAAAGTATGCAACTATAGCAGGTACAAACAGCTCCACGTCAACCAGTTGCAGCATTAAAATACTGCTTTTATATTAATCTGACAATTTTTTATTTAATTGCTATTTTACTGTTTTATTTTAGTATTTAATACCTAATTACTAATACTTTATTAAAGCTACTATTTTACAGTTTTACTTTTTACACAATTTAAATTATAACACCCTCAATCTGCATGTTCAGTACTTAATACTTTTAATACATTTATTTTTTTATACAAAAATGCAGCTACTACAAAATATGTTAAATGTGGATAAAGACACTCATACACAGTATACAGACACATTTGCGCCTGTATATATGTCAAGTAAAAGTAAACACAGAGCCTGTGTTGATGAGAAGTAGGAAGCTGAAACCTAGAAAAACCTCTCTTATAATCTCAAGGCAGGATAAATATGATTACATTAGATAATTGTTACTTTTACTACTGAGAATGATCTGGGTACATCCTCTACTTGTGCCTCTGGCTGAAAAGATGAAATAAATATGGCCTTTAAGGGTGAATTAAGGGGCTTTGGTTGCAGGAAAGCTGCTGTTGCTGAAAGGTGTGAGAATCATAAACCTTTATGTACTGATTGTTCATGAGTCTCAGTGACAGATCCAAGAGGATTATCAGAGAGATTAACTAAATGCATTAGCATACATACTGTATATAACAGCCTCTACTGTTATATGTGATCGGATCAAGATTCCATCTATTCCTCAAACGGGTCAAAGTCTCCCCTCGCTCTCTCCCCCACTGGGCTGTTTGCTGTGCTTACATCAGGGGGGAGACTGTTGGGAGAAAGGTCTGCAGCAGGAAGTGAGGAGATACACCTGGAGGCAACATAAAGGCTGAGTGTGGGAGATAAACTGAGAGGCTTGAAGAAGAGGTACAGACGGAAAACTTGAGAAGAACTAGAGACATCTAGAGGATGAAGTGTGTTTCTGTTGTTGTGTTTGTGAGTCTTCTCTCACTGGGACACGCTGCTCCTCTAAACAGCTGTGAAAGTCTGCTGAAACCAATAACTATCAGCAATGAAGACGTAAGTGCTTTTATGTCTTAAGTATATTGATTTGAACCCAGTTAGACAGATAAATTATGTCTTCTTCTTTTTAAGAAGTCTACCAACTATCCTGCTTCAGGTTTTTTAATCTTGTTAGATTAAATGCAAATGCAGATGAAATATTTATAAGTGCAGTAAATGAGTAGAAGCCAAATCAGGGTCATCATGATCATTATCATGTCTGCTTGTCCCCTCTTGTATAAGGTTGAACATCTTGGTAAACACAGTCAGAGGCAGTAAATATATAGTAAGTATCTGATCTGATCACATATAGTTCAATGATACGTTTTCATACTGCATAAAAAATACACACAGACACTTAACTGCAAGTTAATCCTTAAATTAAATGTTAAACTGGAACCATAGTTCTCATAAAAAAAATGTTTTTAGATCAAACCATATGAGGGAAGATATTTTAAAATGTGAATCCTGTAACGATGAATCAGTAAAACGTGAGCAACTAATTGTTTAACCACAGGAGATAAAAGCTTTGTTAAAAATCTATAATTAGATGTTGCCAATCCAAATATTGCGAAATAGGCTGAACACACACCATGGTTTTCTCTAATAAGATCATTAAAACAATAAGACAAGTGTCATTAAAATGCAGCTATATATTCCTTTGTCATTCAATTCATTTGGGAACTTTATTCTTCTATTTTCTGCTTTTCTACATGTTCTAAATTATTATAATAAATTATTTTATGTCATTATGAAATTATTTCATCTGGAACTCAAATTACAGACCTTTAAAACAAAGCGTTCACCACATGGCGTCATTTTGTAATCAAGTCTCAGGCATATGGAGGGAGCACCAAATGTAAATTGATGTTATATTTCAAACGTATTTTTAATTTATTTATACATATTTAATTTCTTTCTTTCTGTGTGTTGTGCTCCAGATGTTGGGGAGGTGGCTGTACATCGGGGGGAGCTCTGACCTCCCAGGAAGTCGCTCCCTAGGCCATCTGATGAGCAGTGTCTGGTTGGACATCACTGCAACCCCCCAGAGCAACGTCCTCAATCTCATCCAGACTCAGAGAATGTAAATCCCCACCAGCACTGTCAAACCACAGCGTGGAAATATGTCGTAACGATGAATATTGATTACAAACAAAAGTCTGTAGAGATATTGTAAAAAAAAAAAAAAAAAGTTGTATGGAGGAACTTTTCTTATTATAACTACTATTTAATAACAAATTTAAACTCTTATGAGAATGTATATACTCTATATGACTTCACTGGACAGTATGAGGAGCTAGACCTTCATATTTTATGAATAATACAAATTACTTGTATTTTTTTAATAAAGTCCATGAATTTATTGGGATAAAACACAGTAAGAAGTGGAATCTAACTACGTACTAATTTACTAAAGTACAATTTTGAGGTACTTTACTTGAGCAGTTTGATATCCTGCTACTTTAAACTTCTACTCCTCTACATTTTATGGATTAGACACTCCACAGTACTTAAAGCAGTCAAATTTGTTATAATAATCCAGTAATATAACATTTCTTATGAAATGGGCCATTCTACATAATAAGCATTTTATTTATTTATTTATTTACTTTTTCAGTGCCAGCCTGTATTAGCAAAAAGATTAATATTCATCTGTTGTCCCTTGGCTCATTAAAATCATCATCATGTTCTGATGCAGCCTTTATTTTTATCTTCCCAGACACGATAAATGTTCCAGCTTAATATACAATGTGACCTTTGAAAACAGCACTATGTTGATTGGTGAGTGAAGAAGAACCACAATTATTAGACAGATTATTCTGGAAATCTGAATTCAAACACTTACATACATTTCCTGTGATTTCCTGTGGTGTGTGTGTGTGTGTGTGTGTGTGTGTGTGTGTGTGTGTGTGTGTGTGTGTGTGTGTATTTCACAGAGCAACCTTTTTACCTCAAGGAAGTCTACTTGGCAACTAATGGCTCTGACTGTCTGGTTGCCTATGAGGAAATTATCTCTGGTGAAAACACTTTCACCAGTCTTCTGCTCTTCAGTAAGAAATTCTCACTCATCAGTCCTGACAGATTAAATTAAAACAAACCTCTACTCAGTAGGCTGTCTCCAATTACTGTTTTCGGTAGTCCTTTTTTATTTAAATGTCTTACTTTGGCGTGCAACTCCTGAGATTGTTCCTCACTCTGACAGGCAGGAGAGAGAGTGTCTCACCTTCTGTTGTGGAGTTGCTCAAGAGACAAGCAGAGTGTCTCCGGATGCCATCGCCCATAATGATGGACTCAAACAATGGTGAGAATTTTAACTAATTAAAAAAAAGATCTCCACATACTTTGCCTCCATAATGTCATACGGTTTGTTTGTGACTTATCTTTAATGTGCACATACACAGAAATCTGCCCAGACAACATCTCGCCCTCCGAGGGGCTCAGTGCCCTCAACTCCTTGTTAGAGGCCAAGATGGGACACCAAGTGGCAAGACTCCTGGATGCTCTTTTTGATATGTTTGTCAACTGATTTATAATGAGTTTGGATCTGTGTCATTTTGTATGTGCAAGCAGTTTTTCCTCTGTATCCCCATCAGTACTTCAGAAAATTAAGATTAAAGAATTGCCTATTTTTCTTTTTATTATAATTAATGCTAGTAGTAGTGCCATTGTTATTGTTATAGGCTGTGTCCTCTATAAGATCTTTTCAAAAGCAAGATGTTTTCTTATTAACACAAAGCGAAAATACTGCGACATATTAAAAGTCATACAATGAGTCATAACTTCAGTGTCATTTTCTGTAAACTCGTGTCAGTGTTTACAATCTGGTGGACAGTTGAGAGAAGAATGGAAGACGTGATTCCATGGCAACCGAACTCTCTGCCATCAACGTGAACATTTGAGGTTTTTACTGGAAGCGATTCCTAAACTATGAAGACAATGTTGGATAAAACACATATTGCACAAATTCAATGATGAGTCAAATCATAGTTGGGACAAAGAATTTATTAAACCAAAGCCCACATAAAAAATAGGCTACAACACTGTAAATAATTTAGTAAACAGTCCACAAAGGTAAAAATAAGTAGCTAACATAGCATCAACAGTTATCTAAACAGTATATCAATGATGGATATCTTACTCAGAATATGTTAGCTTCAGACTGCTAGTATAGTGGATAACTTGGTTAGCAAAAAACAAAATTATACTAAATCAACAATCACAAAACAGGTATAAGAAAAAAAAGAAGAAATAGAAACCAAAGATATGAAGGTATAATGTGACTATTGTGACATACACATCCAACAGATATAGAGCAATGTTCGTGTTCATTTGGAGTCAAAGATCTGGCAAATTTAAGTCCAAATTTCACTCTCCTTGTAGCTCTTTTTGGTCTCCACCACTCCTGAGGTGGATGAAAACGCAGTGGAGCACTGAGCTATACTATACACTGGTAACTATACTATATTAACTGTATAATACCATTCACATCTTCTAAGCTTCTGTTGAGTTACATACTGTATAATATCATTACAGAAGACACATGGTGGATGCCTGTTCATACCATAATGAATTATCAGCTTTTAATTTAAAGTAAAAACTAATTGGAAAATGGTGAGAGTTTGGTTGCTTGTACTCTGATTTGCTCGTTATTTTTTGGTTTTACTGCTCTAATTCCCCAGTTTTTGTAATTTTTCCAAAGTTTGGAGGCCTAATTTAGTTTAGAATAAAAAAAACATCACCTTTCAACCAGTTTAAAACACATATGTTAACAACACAGGACTCCTTGTGGGATGAGCCTCTGAACTTCAGTGGGATGAGCCTCTGAACTTCAGTGGGATGAGCCTCTGAACTTCAGTGCAGCGCTTTAAGCTTGAAGCAGACACAATCAACTTCCAACTACGAACAGGACAGTACGCTAAAACAACAGATCTAGGTTCTTTGTTTAAGTAGCTGTGGTGAGCCATGATGGTGTTTATTCATGTTGCTGTGGCTGTGCTCTGTCTTCTTACTGGTGGACACTCAGCTCCTGTTACCAGCTGTGAGGATCTAATCAGACCTATTGAAATCCAAGGAAGAGACCAGGTAAAACATTTCTCTCACTCTCACTTTCTGCTTGTTGGATCCTCTTTGTTCAAAATCCTTTTCACGTGACCATATATCATCTCATCCAACTGAGGGAGATCACGTCTGTTTCAGCTGCTGGGCAAGTGGACACTTGTATCAGAAAGCACAACTGTCCCAGGATCCAAAATGCTGACGAAGATGTTGGTGGAGAGCGCCTGGGTGAAAGTCACTGTCGCTGACGAGAGTGATGCCCTCAGTGTTTTTCAGGCTCAAAAAATGTAATATCGAACCTAAATTTAAGGATTGTATCAAGGTTTTGAGCTCACATTTCACAAGTGTCCAATGATGCCTTTACATAATAATTTAACTTTTTAAAAATTCTACTTATGAAAGGTTTGGCCGCTGCTTCACTCTCACATCTAAGATGACCTTGAAAAACAGCACTCTCTCTATGGGTGAGTATTGATGACATGTGTGTTGACTTATCTGCACAAACACATTTGGACTTTGTTTCCAGTACTCTAACAGCACTTTGTGTCTGTGTTCATGTGTGTTTATGTATCTCCAGTGCGACCTGTCACTGCTACTCAGGTCCTACTGAATACCGGCTGCCCTGACTGCCTTGTTGTCTACTCAAATTACACCATTGGAGAAAGCATATACAGTGGGCTCCAGTTCACAAGTAAGACTTAAGGCATACAGACTGATAAAGTAAATGTAGACTTTTACATTCAAAAGAATTTATAAGACCTTCACTTCTTAGGGAGTGACTTTGAAATGGATTTGACATCTGAGAGTTTACACACTGTATTAAACATTAGAGTTAGACGATATGGTTAAAATCTGCTACTTTTACATCGGTGTATCAATGTGTATCGTGATCAAATAAGTTTATACAACCAGATGTCTGTTTCTGCTCATGCAGTGAATTAAATACCTGAGGATTTGAGGTACTTCAAGGCGCTCCCTTGCTTACACTTGTTCTGTCTCTCAGGCAGGAGGAGAAAGGTGAGCGCTGCTGAGCTGGAGGAGTTTAAGAAGCAGGTAGACTGTCTGAACTTACCATCACCCGCCATCCTGGACCCAGAAAAAGGTATGAAACTTGCTGCCCCCATGTTTATAATATCGCAGCAAAAGTGCCCTCCTGGGTGCACCTATGGTTCCCAACCTGAGGGTCCAGACCCTCACAAGGCCAGAGCTTCACAGGGGGGATCATGGTGCCTTCTTGATTTAAAGGGGTGTAAGAAACCTTAAGAAATATATATAGAGAAAGCCTATCTTAGCATTTAATTAATTTCTGTTAAGAAAACTAAATTGAATTGTTATTTTCAAAATTTGGATTATTAATTAAGATATAATAAATAAATCATTCATTTTACAAACACTTCCTACAGTTATATCATCCACTATTGGGTTCATTGTACAGTTTATCAGTTGCTCTGTATTTGAAAAAAATATTAAATAAACATACAAAATACAAAATATGTCACTTAGTCAAAGGGTTGTCAGTTTACAACCTTTTGACTTAAGGGACCCCTCCCTTAAGTCAAAAGGTTGGGAATCACTGCTCTAGAGTACTAATCCAAACCCTGAATAAGTAAAAATGCATCACATCTTTCTGGTGGCTTTTTATATATTTTTTGCCCCTCACCACTGTAAGAGCCAGTAGTAAAGTGCATTTTGTCAAACTACAATTGAAGTTAGATTTTATTTATAGATCACGTTTATTTTACACAGGTTTTCAATACACGTCCTTAAATACGAGACAGCAGGGAAGTGGGAAAGTCACACACAAGTCGATTATCACCGCTTTAACGTGTATGTGTGTCTGTCTTTATTTGTTCATCATGGTGAATGAAGTTCATGAAATGTTCTCTTACCTGGAATAAATTAAATTAATTCACTGTTCTCTGCCTCACAGGTTTCTGCCCAGACGAGTCTCCCTCCCAAGAAACAGAGGCCACTGATCTCACCAACGTCATGAATGAAATGGGCTCTGACACATTCAGCCTATTGGAGAGACTTTTCAACAGTACAGATGCAGTAAATGCAATTTTCAGAATGATATCCAGCAGCGTATCTGGATTAAAAGAAGATTAACACTGTACACAAATGTTATGACATGCTTACATAGGACATATCTGTCTAAAGAGAATTCTGACAATAAAAATGATATTTGTTTCAGAGTATCAGGTTTTTTCTTTTTTCTGTATTGTCACTGACATGTGAAAACCATCAGAAGTTTTGATTATAAAGATTATATTATTATATATTATTATTAACACACCAGTTTAGAGCTCATAAATATCACTTTAAAGATATTGAGGGTTCTTCACATCGCTGCGGCTGTGCTCAGTCTTCTGTCTGTCGGACAGTCGGCTCCTGTCACCAGCTGTGACACCTAACCTCTTGCAGTCACAGGAAGAGAGCAGGTAAGAAACCCTCTCATCTCACTCGTCTCACTCTCATCTCGTGCAACTGAGGGAATCATCTTCTGTTTCAGCTGCTGGGCAAGTGGATGCCTATTGCAGAGACCACAAGCATCCAAGAAATTTAACAACTGAGAAAGAACTTTCAGTCAGGCTGGATGAAAATCACTGCTGCCAACAAAAGTCCAGCAACAGCACTTTTTCCTCTTTTCAAAGAGGTCTTATCAAAGGTCCAGTGTGCAACATTTAGGAGGATCTATTTGCAGACATGAGGGTGAAGCGAGCAACTACACTTATAGATGCCGAGAAAGCACAGCGGTTGCCTCCATTGAGTCCATTTATTCCTGATAATGGACACCCCGAAGGGCATTATTACACCATGGTCACTTGCCAAAATAAAAAGCCCATTAATTGAGTTCTTCACAAGCTTTAATTCCGTTTCCCTGGTAACACCTGAAGGTTTGACTAATACCTGGAACAACCCTGACCATCCCATAAGGTTCTTATGCAATGGAAATGTTGTTCACTACTCCAGTTAATAGGATGAACCTTACGTACGACTTGGCAAATTTTGACAAATGATTCAAGCTTACAAATCTAATGGCAATTTCTACATATTAAAGCTTTCGCTTCTTTGTCACAACCAAAACCGACACGAGCCTGACACACACTGAGTACGCTAATTTATTAATAAAACATGCTGTGCAAATATTTTGTCCGACATGCCTGCACAAACACATTTGAACTTTATGTCTAGCATTGCAACAGTGTGTGTGTGTGTGTGTGTGTGTGTGTGTGTGTGTGTGTGTGTGTGTGTGTGTGTGTGTGTGTGTGTGTGTGTGTGTGTGTGTGTGTGTGTGTGTGTGTGTGTGTGTGTGCACTTCCTAGGAGTTGTTCTGCAGTTTTCTACATTTCACCTACTAAAAACTGTCTGTTCTGACTGCTTGCTGCTTCAATCACAAGGCCAGACGTCTGAAAGGGACATTCAGTACCCTTCTGCTACTGAGTAAGATAATAATGATAATGTTTATTTGTATATGTTTCACAGTGCTTTACATAAAATTAATAATTAAAGACAAAATACACTGATTGTCTGTTTATACAAGTGTAAATCATTCACAGGATTTAGTATATTTTAAACTACTGAAGACATATGATTATATGTTATACTGCATTATCAAGCAATCATAACTGCAGAACTGTCATGAAAGCTTCATGGGAGGAGTTCTTTTGTTATTTGAATGCCACACATAACTCCTTCTTCAGGTAAGTGGTGTTAGATTTAAATGTGGGACATCAAAAACATTTTGTATAAAATGCTGTACTGTAAAATTCTGTATTTAGTGTTTCAGCACAGGGTACAGTATATTTCTGTATTTTTCTTGTCTCTCAGATAAGAAAAGTTCTGTGACTGATGCTGAGTTGGAAGAGTTTAAAAAGCTGGTAGAATGTCTTAACTTTCGGCAGCCTTCTAGCCTGAACCCAGAATATACCTGCAGTGTTTTGTACCTTTAATAGCTGCTGCTATGTGGACCAAAGTGGTTGACAGACTGACTGACCTAATACTCAGTAATACTCAATTAAAGCAGTTTTAGAGTCTGAGAAAGGAAGCTGCACTTATTAAATGTGTTAACTACGCAGAAGTGTTAGATCTACATGAATGTGCATTCACTAGTTCATGCCACTCAACCTTATCTAGGAAATGAATTAAATGAATTCACACTTACTTTGTCTCACAGGTGTTTGCCCAGAGCCTCTGTCTCAAGACACAGAGATTATGGATCTGCCACGTTTCTTTATCGATGGACAGATATATCCGAGTTTAGGAACATAACTGAGATTGCCAACGGTGTAGGTGTACCAGACAATTAAAATGGTCTCTGAGGATTACCATTACAGAGGCTGTGTCTGACAATAAAAAACTATACTAAATAAATTAATTTAGAAATGCATCAAGTGCCTCTCTAGACGGCACTTAACAGTCGATGTATGACTGTGGCTTTAGTTTGTAGAAATGTCCCCCTACTCGCAGTACCTAATTCACTTCTCAGCCAACAACAGCGTATAAAGTTTCAAGACAATCTGAGATGGCCCTGCTGACATTATCTGTGCTACTTTCTTAAACTTTAAAACTGCTTTAATTGAGTTTCACTAACTAGTACACCTCATGATGAGGTCAGTCTGTCAGCTACTTTGGTCCACACTGAAACAACTATCAGATGGATTGTCATGAAATTTTTTACAGATCTTCACAGTCCCTAGAGGATCAATCTTACTAACTCTGGTAATCCCTTGACTTTTCCTCTGGGTTCAAGGGGTATGATTCTTGCTTGGGTTGTGAGATATCCTGGTTTCATATTCTTGACGAGCCCCCATTTTGTCACAACCTGGCTAAAAGTACAACAAAAGAGGGGGACCACACAGAGTCTGAAAATTATGCTTGGTGTTTAATTAAATAAATGAAGTAAAACAACAAAATAGCATATTTCTCCTGGTTCTTCTTCAGGTCAGTATGTCTGCAATGTCAAAGTACAAGAAATGACAAGCTCAGACAGGCCAGAGGGAAAAGACTGAAAATGCTCACAGGTCCGATTTATAGCCTGCTGAGGCCCAGCCTGCTCAGGTGTGTTGTATCACTGATGAAGTCACAGCTTCCACCCCTCACTCCCTGGAGCAAAAGGAAAACAGGCAACAAGAAAGAACAGAATAGGGCCAACCCTGAGGCCATCACACGTCAAAGCCACCTGAATTAATCATCTGACTGAGTCATAATCATCTTAATGACTCAGTTTACAAAAGCAAAGAATATAAAATGGCTACAAATAAATAAATATATGTATATGTAAATAAGTACAGTTGCGTAAAAGAGACCTAAAGGTTTGTGATTAATTTTTATAGAGGAATTAAAACAATACTGTAACAAAGTGCTGTATTTGATTCCAGGAATCAGGTGCACTAAATTAAAAAACAAAATAAAATGTGTTTAAATTTAAAATGTTTTTTTTTTTTTAATTGAAGATGTATCAGATGTTGCAGCCTCCCTTCTATGTTTGAGATGATTGTTCCAATTGAATATATATGGCCTTCTTCGCCCCTCTTGACCTCTTGTCTTCACTACTAAACTTTGTACATTGATATCTCATGAATTGGTGACCCTTGTTCTTCCAGTGTAGACTGTCACATTTTGACCCAAGACCTTGACCCTCCTATGTTTGGCTATGTACTTATTAGGTTGTGTCATCTCCTGGATATATGGGAATCAGTAGAACTAGTGTTGCCGAGTTGAGTTTTCAAGGACAAATTATTTCAAAATTAAGGGAAAAAGGTTAATGTAGATGTTCACATACTGTATACAAATCTAACCCAGCAGTGCTATGCAAAGACGTAGAAATTTAAACTGGGACACCACCCGAGAATAGGGGTAAAGCATTAAGACTCTTATGACTTTATGTCAACAAATGGGGAAAAACACAGTGAGTTACATGGAGGATGCCCATAGCCTTGTTTATTGGTAGTTTATTACTGTACATACACCTGCTCATGAGTCATATGTACATATATCTTTCTCTCCCTCATACACACAAACACACAAAACACTCCAGATTATATAAAAAGGACTCATTTTCTGTGCAGGGTTCAATCACAGTCTGAGATCTACGAAGAACATTTGCATCTGCACACACCGTGTACATACACGCATACGCGCACACACACCACAAATATCTGCATATGGCCTTATGCCTTGATTTACATAGAACAGACCACAATCAAAAATATAGAAAAGCGACTGATGAACCAATAGGCAACCCAGTGGTAATCAAGTGAATAAGCTGTTGTTGTTGTTGTTGTTGTTTTTGTACATATAAACCAACACAAATCTTTGTGGGTCTGTGGAATATGTGCTTCCTTTACTTTCTAAACAGGAAGACCACAGAAAGGTTAGTTGTCTTTTTCTAAGGGGGCATTTTTTCAATTTCAAAACAAACTCCGAAAGCATAATTTTACAATTATTCAAGTCATCTGTATGGTATGCTTGAGCCCCTGGTGTGACTCTGGAATATATCTGACAGTGAATTTTCCAATGCTACATTTTGTTGTTTATCTAGTATAATCCCCTGAGTGTGACTCATACAATCACCAGAGCTGTGTGACCTAAATCTAAGTAGCTTTGTTCAATCTTAGTATGTTTTTTTTCCCCCACAAATCAAGAGGTGTTCTGAGAGGGAAAAACTATATCTATACCATATTCAAAAGGGCCATCTTTTTCTGTTCTGCCTTCTCTACTAATGCCAGGAAATGGTTGTATGTTTCATTAAACTGACATGTGCTTTTATATAACATGTCAACAGTTTAAAAAATTGTCTTAAGCCTTCATCAAGAAGCAGTATTGTTAGTTAGCTAGATAATTGATCTACACAGGGCCTGGAACACATCTTTTTACTTAAACCAGTATTAATTGACATGTTATTACTTTATAGGGTTGATATGTGATGTGATGTGATATGGGAACTTGTTGGCAAATTTACATATAGACAGAGCATCATTATTATTAATTTAGAGTTGTGTTTCTGGCCACCCGATGAATGTATCCACTCCCCTTTTACCTCTGAATGAACAGTCGAGCTGCAAGCCAGAAAATCAAAACAACGAGCTTAAAGATACTAAAACAAATACAACTGAGGAGAACCCCATTCACATTACACATTGTCATTTTACGTTGTTAATATAAAAATACTGATCAGTGCAAGTTCCTGATTTGGGAGTAGTCTGGTTTTACTCAGTTGTAGATGCAGTTATCAAACTAACTTCAGTAATCCTGCTTTCTGATACAGAACCCTGTTACTATATAACATCCTAATAAAGAGGACTTGGTCACTCCAGAACTCCGAATGCAATGAGTCAGATTATATCGAAAACAGAGGAACCTTCTCATAACTTAACTCGAACACTCATAAGTAAGCCAATGTCAGCAGATAAGGAAGAGTGGCCACGTGAAGGTGTTTAGGACAAAGCCACTGTGTGCTTTAGTGTTGACACATGACTATAAAGACAAAAAGGAAACAACCATGGCATACTTTTTGCAAGAACAAACAAACAAACTGAGGCCTATTTCACAAATGCACATTATTATACGCGCACTCTCGCATTTATAAATAATTACAACAAAAGTAACAAAGATCGGTTATGGCAAAAAGAAACGCGTCACAGAAAGAACCCTGCATCTCTTCATGTCTGATTTTTCTCTTTTTTGCTTGTTTCTCTCTCTCAGACACACACACAGTTTTGCAATCACAGACTGCCTCTCTTTCACCAGTCAACAAAACAGGAGATACTTTAAAAAAAAAAAAAAAAAAAAGATATACAGAAAAAAGGATTTATTTTCTTCATCACTAGTGGCCTTCTGTCAAGGTTACTTGTTCCACTACGACGCAGAAGCAGTTGCTAGGCAGCCAGCCCATCACCTGGACACACATAATCTTGAAAACAACTTGTTCCAGGCAAACTGTGTAGCATTAAGACCCATTCATACTACGGAGAGTACAGTCAGTGTGTGATTGTCACTGGGTTAGGGTGATGCACAGTGAAGTGTGCTGAGATATGAAAGGAGGCGAGGGGATAAGGATGTCTGGTAGTTGATAAGAAGAGTGACATTATTGAGCTCTGCTGTTCTGGCCACTGGCCCAACATGTTCCTTTAAGACCAGTCTTCCCACTGCACAGTCGACTTGGATGAAGGTTCCAGGTTTTGTTGCCTCCACAGCCTCTAGTAATGACCTAGGGCACCAAGCCAACTGTTACAAAAGCACTGGGGTGTCTTTGTTTTGTTTTGTTTTTTTGCTTTTTTTGCAGGTGAAGTTAACGGTGTGACAGTTTTTGTTTTGTCATGGTCTGACTGTGCCATGTGCTTGAATAGGGAACAAACAAGTGTCAAAATTCCAGTTGCAGCTCACAGAACTCAATTAGAGAGTCTGGTCTCCAAAATCCATAATGCTCCCCATGGCTGGTTCTGCCCTGACATCCCACAGGCTGGTGTCGGTTCGCATGGCTTGACAGTGTGCCAGCTCGCCTGATAGGTCATGGTTCAATGGTGTTGGGATGCTGGATTTGTAAACAAGGGTGTAGAGAAGGTATGTGCGGGAGAACGGGGTGGGGGATCAATGCTACCCTGTAAACAAAAATATTGGGAGTATTTTGGGAAGGGTAATTACTCAGGAGCCTGACAGCCAATGTGGTGCAGCAGTGGAGGTTTAAGATCAGCTGCAGTGGGGCTAGTCCGGTCTGAAGATGGGGATCTTAGGTAAGAACTCTATTAGGATTACCTGCAGGGGATAAGAGGAAAAAGCTGTTACTGTGAGACAAGACTGGTGAGACTGTGATCTTTCGAGTGGTAGAGATTTTGTAGCAGCGTCTACCAAAGTAGCGATCACTTTATTATCTCAGGTCATATATTGTATCCAATGTTGCAGATCAATGTGCAGGACTGCTTTATAGCAATATTAGATTTTTTTTTTTTTGCAACAATGTGATCAAGTACATTGATGTTTTATGTATTTAATTCACTGGGTTATCCAAGATCTTTTCCATCTGATAATAACAATGTATGAACACCCCTATGCTGAATGTGTCAGCAGGGACTAGAATAAACTTGTGAGGCCATTTTCAAACCAGCATTAAAACTGTGTGGGGAAAAAGTAGGGCCACATGATGTGATTATTTTAACAGATGATTCGCAATTAGTTGGAATCATAATTTTTTCACACAAACTAGAAATAATTAAATTAGAATTACAGAAAACAACATATTTAGATCATGATGAGGTGACATTTATTGAGATGTTTTCTTAAATCTGGGTCAGGGCATCTCTGCAGCACCACAGTACGTCATTATAATGCTGTTTGTCACACACTGCACTTGGCCTTATTGCAATTTCAATAATATCGTGATTAATTGCGCAGCCCTAGAAAAAAGGCCCACTACTCTTTCATTATTAATGAGATTACTACATCAATGCTGCGGGGGGAGCTGTCACAGAGGACTCCAGTAGTGCAACAATCAAATATAAGCACACATTGCATTTTCCATTACTCTGAAATAGGAACATTGTTATTCTACTGTTAACCTTGCAACTGTTGCGACGGAAGATAAAATCTTTCCTCATAGTATTATAAACTGAGCAGTGTTTTGGCTTCCTGTATTGTACATTATCATCTCATCCCAGCAGATACTCACATATTCCATCATGTTGTTGGTTTCACACTTCCTTTTGCTTAGTTTCCAATGCAAACACAACTGCAAACAAGAGTGCAACAGAGATCAGAGATTTTGTATAACATGTCCTAACAAGGTACACCATTAATACACATGTTAACGCCTTCACTACTCACTTTGTGGTAAAGTCTGCTGTTCTCCCACTCCAGAAGTTTCTCTATAGATCTTCTTGTCTGGAAAGCAACAGTGACATTAGATGATATTCTTTTCAACGCCCAATGAATCACCACATCAACATTTTCACCTAGTGCTGTGTTGTTGCAAACGCAACGTGGATGGTATCTCACCCTCTTGCTGAGGCAGATCACAGGCCACAAACTGAAGCCCAATGTGCAACAGCAGCAGAGGCAGCCACACAGGAGCCACCGCACATTCACTGGCAGCGTCTTTCTCAGGCAGCTGTTTACACGGTTTATACTGGCTTTGAATTCCTCTGGTGCCACCTGAGGAAGTGCAATGGACAGACATTTCATCAGTCTTTTGTATTGGTGATCAGATCAATGCATGAAGACCACACATGAAAATTAATAAAATAAAGTATCATATGTTGGCTGGTGGAAAGAAAATAACCAAAATCTTGCAGTGGTGCAAATGTGAGATGTCATTTTGAATAATTAATATGTATTTATGAATAACCACAAAGCACTCACCTTTCCCGTAAGTGCTGAAGGAAATTCTGACTCGAATTTGTTACTAAGCCCAAACCTGTGGGGGAAAAGTTAAATGTTATACTTAAGCAGAGATTAGGATAATTAATAACCAGCTTTACATTTAAGGCCACTTTGCCTTAGATACTTTGATAAAACTCCCATATCATGTACCATCTTGCTCTTAAAGAGGGTCCCACAGCACAGACAATATTATACATATATAATATGAACATAAAAACATCTGTACGGGACTGTGTTGTGTTAGACACCCTGTCTATCCATCTACCTTCGTCCTAAATTAAACTAGTGGGTATTATGTAGAAGCAGCCCATTTATACTGCCCAGGACTTGATACAGTTCACTGTTTATTCTGGGCTGCATTGCACAGCCACATGTGTAACTAGCAGCCACGATGGCCAACAAGACTAACAAAGGAGTGCAGACATTAATGTAATATCAAACCTGTGAGAGAAAGAGTGGTGAGGTGGAATCAGTGCGATAGCTTGACAGTGTTTGAGTGAATGATATCAGTAATTTGAACCCTAAACTATAGTAACACACTGCTGCTAGCCTGCCAGCTAACCCCTGACTGCACTACACACAACATCCAGTAACTACACTGGCTACTGCTATAACTTATGATAATAATATTTTACTGGGGGACCACTTTGTACGCACGATTTAGCTAAATATGATCTGAACACGGGAGTCTTGTCCCGTGTTCAAGTCCTGAAACAGTGAAAACAAACAACGGGAACAAACAACACAACAACACGTCACATTACGTGGCACACACACACACACACACACACACACACACACACACACACACACACACACACACACACAAAGGGGTAAATATTTGTCAGGTCATGTCCCGTTAACGACACTTCAGCCAAAGCGAAAGCTAAATCTACTCAGCCACTCCTCGTCTGCTCGTAGTTAGCTCGACGCTAACCTAGCAGCTAGCTGGCTAACTTAGCTAGCATTGAGTTATTCATCACCCGGTGACGGTAAACTCGTCACTCGATGGCCGTTAGCGTCGCCGGTTGCTTACACAGTGACGTGGCCGGACCCTCGCACCACCACCGGGTCCGGAGCGTACTTGAGGAGCTGCTCCTCCGCGGCCCTGTCCTCGTCCTCCTCTTCCTCCTCCTCCTCTTCGTAGATCTCGTCAAAGTCCTCCATCATCGCACGACGCGGCCTCGCGCTTCCCGGGAGCGACACCGGGAGAGACACAGTGCCGACGAACAGCGGGAACCTCACCGGGAAGAAGAGTACACAGAGAACCGCGAAGACAACCTCAGTAAATATCAACCCGTACCGGAGACGGTACAGTTCACATCGTTCAGAGAGCTCCGACACAAACATCAACATCCGCCGCAGTAACCGGACGACACCGGAAGGGGGACAGACGTGCTTACGTCACATTTATTTATTTATTTATTATTATTTTTTATTTATTTATTTTTTTAAAGACAATTTACAGAAACCAGAAGATTTGTGTCGTTTGTTTTGGTCTTGTCCACTTCCTTTTCTTCCTTTTCTTTTTTTTGGGGGGGGTATTAGTATATTGTTTCTGATTTATTTTATTTTGAAGTCAAATAATACATTAAATTACTCCCATACTGTAAAAATGAGAAATCAATAAGAAAAAGTATAATTAATTTAACTAATTTATGTCCCCTGGCTTTATGTGTTCATGTATTGTTTATGTTTGCAAATAAAATTAAAAGAAACAATTTAGTTTTTTATCAGTTTGTTTGTATGTCTGTAAAATAGTTAGTGTTTACTTCATACTATATGTTTTATACTTTGTGTACTCGTTCTGTATTCATAAATAGCTAAAAGAAACAGCAAGAAAGGAAACTAGTTTATTTAACAAAATAAGGGAAATAATTTGCCTGCTGCAAAACTTCTCTATAAAAAATATTCAGGTCCAGGTAGAATACTACTCGCATCCTGCATTCAAATGTTTACTCAAGTAAAAGTAAAGAAGTATTGATGTATTATCAACAAAGAACAAAGTGTTAATTATGTAGAACGACTCATTTGAGGGTGTTATTATAGTATATTATTTGATTACTATTGATGCCAGATATAGGGCAGCATTTTAACTTATTTATAAAATACTAATCGGATCAATGCATTATGATAGGATGAGATGATCACATCTTCTGCATGAATGAACTGCATTGTCATACCCGAGCATTGGGGATGATTTACAATAGAAGAAGAAGAAGAAGAAGAAGAAGAAGAAGAAAAAAAGGTAAAACCGGAAGTAGAGCAAAATTTCTTTCGAAATAAAACATGGAAGTTGGCAAAAATGTTGGATTTAGGCTTCAATTGAACCCTACGTACTATGGATATCTTCGCTTTTTTTCCTCTCACTCACATACAGCGTACATGTTTTAATTTGCTGCGCTGTTAAATATACCGTTCATTAAATGTGCCACTGCGGGTCAATGCGTTTTATTTTGAATGATTTGACCAGAAGTTGTCTTTCCGGTACCCGGATTCAGCGATGGTTGCTCCGGAGCCCGTCCGCTAGCCTGTCCTTATTAGACATCCTCTGGTTGCTCCTAGTTATTTCTGGAAGTCGACATTGAACGAGATTCGTGTAAGTGTCGCTGTGAAATTTCTTCCTCGATGTCAGTAAACCTTTTTATTAATCCATCTAGAGCTTCATCAACCCGAGAGGTTTACAGTAGACATCGGCTAAAAGCGGTGTGGATGTGACACTACTTCCTGTTTAGGAAGTGTGCAGACAATTGGACCACAGTCGATTTGGATAAATTGTGGTAAACCTTTTCTTCAGCTTAATAGCCGCTGATAAAGTTTTTCGGCAGGATGACACAAAACGAGCAATGTCAAATGATCTTCCAAGGGTTCAAAGAAGTGGTTTCCATCTCCGCCCCCACTACCGGTGTCCTAACAGTGGCACTGCTATCCTGTGCATTGTTTGGCATCCAAACATATTTCAACTTAACCCAAGGTGTCTTTAGCATTGGTGACTGTGTTTTTCAAAATGGACACCTCTACGGGATCTTGCTGTTCCCTTTTTACCACAAAACCTTCCCTCAGCTTCTCATGAGCATTGCGACCCTGCCGTTTCTCAGTGGCAGTCTGGAGAAATGTTTTGGTACTCTGCGTTTCCTGTTGTTGTTCTTCCTGATGTCGACCACCTTAGGCTCCACTTACACCTTCCTGGATTTCTTGCAGTTGGACGGCAGCCCTGTTCCCGCAGAGGGGCTGCTTCCAGTGGGCCTGGCATGTGTGTCTTTAATCACCAGGCACACTCACATGACAAGAGGTTTCCTGTGTGGAGTCCATTTCCCCAGCATGGCTTTTCCCTTGGTGTTACTCTTAATCACCACGGCCCTGGTTCCTCAGAGCGCGCTGACCTGTAACGTCCTGGGCGTAGTGGTTGGGTGGATGTACGCTAGAGGATGTTACTCTGTTCTGGACTTGTCTGAAGCCAGGGCTGGCGTTGTGGAGAAGATGATACCTTTCAGGTGGTTGAGGAGCATCAGATGGGTTATATTTGTCCCTGCTTCCAAGGAAGAGCGGAATAAGACCCTCCTTCCACAAATCAATCCCACGGCTGGATCCTACCCGGTCCAGGCTTACGCTCCAGTGTCCAGCATTAACACTGCTGGTACCACGGCCGAGTCTTACGAAGGCTGGCCGAATTTGACCGGTACTCTGTCCGGTCACACACCACCTCCCAACCCTCTTGGGCATGCCTCTGCACATGGTTTTGGACTAAGTCATGGACACCCACAGCAGAACATTGGCCATAGCTGCAACCATAGTCACGGTCAACCTTAGCCATTGTTATTAATTTGATTGGCTTTACACATCCCATCAATACTGCTCTTATTTATCACTATTGGACACCTGCAGCTCTCTTGTCATTGGATTATGTTGTCTACGTGAAATGTTTGGACACGTGGTTGAAATGTGTTTACTGTGCTTCTACTGTAATTACAGGATATTTCTAGTGTTATTTGTGTCTTTTGTACAGTAATGTATTTGTTTTGTAGTTAATAATAATGCAAATAAATGTGTACACAAATTAAGTCTTTTAAGCATTTACATATGAAAAAACCTAGTAATGGGTGTATATATATATATATATATATATATATATATATATTTATTTTTTATGTGTGTGTGTGTGTGTATAGATACATACAAATAAAGCATGTGCAGGATAACACATTAGATATTATTGTGAATATATTTATACTGGTTTAAAGCTCCCAAAACTTTAGTGAACTAGAAAAAGACTGTTCTGACCCCCATCAGGTCTTCATCAATACAACACAGTGGACATGGTATATCTGTATATGTGTATATGGGCACAAGACCAATTACATCTGGCTGATGTCAAGGTCAAGTGATCAAACAAAACATATTTAATATGGCTCTCAAAAGTGATTTTAAAACATGAAACAGTTGCTAAAAGTAAGGTAGAACATCCCAGACCTGATTTAAGACATACAAAACAGGTAAAGTTAAAATTTATTTGGTTCACTTGACAATGATGTCAGCAGAATGTAATTAGTTTTGTGCCTATATATGATATCTTGTTGGCCATTTGTCTGATGTAACATTGATTTGTGTGTATGCTAGTTAAGTCCTTGGAGCTTTAATTCCCTGTTCTCTTAGAAAAATGTACTGCTCTTATGTTCTTTGCAGTTTTTAACTTACTTGAAAATAATAATAAAAACATGATTAACAATTATAATAGAACACCCGTGTTTAGAAACTAATGCTGCTTGTAAACAAACAATCTTGCATCTAATAGCAGTACAAGGTGGCTTCGATGTTATTTTTCCTTTTAGAATTAAAATTTTGTGCTGGGGAAGACGAGAAAAAGTCAATTCAAATCAGTGTCAAAGAACATAGAGACTGTTTGAATCCTCAGAAAATTTGGTTTAATTGACTCACGCAAAGATATATTCATGACAAACTCATACATGGGTTACAGTGGAGCAATATGGCTACTGAGCTGTCCACTGTACTGCAGTGTCAGTGATGCCAAGCATAGATTACATCTTAATTTTTTAAATCAGGACTCATTCGTCCCAGGTGTCTCCATAGACGTTCTTTTCTGTAACATAAGGGAGACAAAGAGAATGAGTTAAGTCCGTTTTTTACAGGTTTATTAAAAGACAGCAGATGTACTTTAATATCAACCCCTCAACAAAAGGCTTGGACACACTGCCCATGTGAAAACTACAGGACGTTACGTTGTTATACAATACAATACAATACAATAGAGGCCTTGTTAACAAATGAATGGATTCTGTCCACAGAATCTGAAACATGTCTGTGACATATTCTACATTCATAAATATTGAAACTGTAGTGAAAGGGGAAATATGTTGCTGGTATAATGTTGATATGACTGCGAACAGTAGCCGAGACCTCTACTCTCTAGTGAAGCGTCGTGTCTCACATGGGCATTGTGGCTGATCTAACCTGTTAACACCATGATGGTGCAGACGTGGGCAGTGTGTCCAGGCCGTAACCCAGCAAGTGTTCTACACATCTCTGCAGTAGTAGCTTACTCTCTTTCTTGGATCTGTTTGGCTCCTTCTCAGTTGATGCTTTGAGCATTGTCTCAGCCTTCTGAGTTAACGTGACCTCATAATTCTCTCTGTTCTTGAGCCTCAGGTCCTCATAGAGGATGGCCTTTCTTCTGGGCTCCTCATCGTCCACATATGACTCAACTGAAGGTGATGGGGAAAGGGACAAATAGGGTAACCTGGGAAAGCTTACATAAATGTTACTTAATGACACAATAAAACCTAGCAGTGGTGGGAAGCAGAACCCTGTGCGGGACTGTTTTCTTAATCCTGTTTCTGATGGATTTCTGACCATTTCCTCATGCAGACAGCCACAAACATTCAGACCTTTCGCGCCTGCACAGTAGAGATTTTATGTCTTCTCCTGTCTCGCAGGGAAAAGATGTTATTTTACTGAGTCAGTAACAACTGAAAAAGTCCACAAGTGTCAGTATTGTTTATTGGGATTGACTTGAAAAAACAAACAAAAAATATGTTGGTCAATTAACAGATCTCCATCTCCTTCCCATTGTTAGCCATATGAAGCTGTACAACTAGTAAAAGTTAGGTTTTGATCACCCAAATTACTGTTTGACAAATACACTGGTTTTAGTATTAGCTACAGTTATTGTCCAATTGTTGGTTTACACTGAGTGGTGGGTCAAAGAACTAATGTTGTCTTTACACATATTACATTGTTTTTGAAAAGCCAATACAGTTACTACCTGTGGTACCTGGAGCACTGAAGTCATCTGATTTGCCCATTTGCACGGGTGACTCTGAACTGTAGGTTCTCTGACGGGGGGATTCTGCTGACTGGAACATGGTGTCAAACGACTGGGTGTCCGGGTCACTCATCTCTGACCGAGCACCCTTGGAACTGGGGAGGACAACAGAAAAATGATGAAGGAATAGTTGGTGGATAAAAACTTATAGCATCCCATACAAGTGTTTGTGTGTGTGGTGCTCACATTTGTGGAGGCATTCCTGTCCTCTGTCTGAGGGCATCTCCCAGGGGGGAGTTATCCAACTTCTTGAACTTCTCCTGGCACGTCTTCATGTATGACATTTTCCCAGCCAGATAGCCACAGAAGCCGGCAACTGGAGAGACAAACATTTTAGATGTCAATATTTTAGATTTTAATACCCCAATAACGATTATATGACACATTTCAGTCATTACTGTTTGCTCTTTCATATAACGTTTCAAGAAGAGTATTGTGAGTAATGTGAATATGATATAAGTATAGACATTGACTGTTAATCTGACACACCTAGATTAAAGATTAAAAAAATTGTTAATTGAAAAATTGCTTGATTGTTGATTGTTGATTGATCTTAGTCTAGTTATAAAGAGATCAAAATGTTCAGTATTGTTAAAACTGTTTTAGAGAGATGTTGATTCAACTTTATGGTATTTTTAGAGGCTATACATTTGTGGTGTTGCTTAACTTTACTGTATTATAGTGAGATATCTTTCTAATATTATCATACATTAATATGAGGCAATGGAGTGAGTTAATTTCCCAGCTTTAACGTTGATGAACTTACAGATCACTTTGGGTAGAGATCCAAACCTTGGAGATGCAGACAAAGTCCCTACACATTTAAAAAGAACAAGATCAGTTCAAAGTGTGTTTATGTTTGATGATGATATGTTTCTGATTCTTCTACGTTACGGGCAGTATTACCTCTGGAAACGAGGGCTTGAGTGACCGCCATGCTGGCCATAGACAAAGGCACCGCTGTGAAGAAACGCATGTTGATGTCAGACACCTTTCCAACTTATAACACAACATAACATTACTTAATCTGACCTGTATGTGACAGACAGAAACTTACATCTGTACCAAAAGCTCTCCGTGTTGCACTCTTTAAACACTCTCTTCTCTTCTTCTGTGGGGATGTACTCCGTGCCCACTAGCGCCTGCACACAAACACATAAACACAAACACACAAACACACAAACACACAAACACATAAACACAAACACACAAACACATAAACACCAACGTTAACTGTAATCCCCTCAGTCAATTGACCTTATTAGACGTGTTGGCAACCACCACACAGACAGCTCCAGCTAACAGACAGACTGATGAGATTTAAACAACAGACAGCAACACGCGAGACAGTTCATCCAAAGTTAACGCGAGCTGGCTAACAGGTTAGCATCTTTTTAGACAATGTGTGTGTGTGTGTGTGTGTTTACCCGTGGTCCCGTCTGCTGCCGATCCTCCGTAAAACCTGTGGTGGTGGATGACATTTTTACTTTAATGTCAGTGCTACTCAGGCTTTTAAAGCATGTGATATAACAAACTGTGAGCCACTTGGCGGTGTGACTTCTCTGTTTGGGACAATGTCATTGCGCTAGCTATCGCTGACGTAACCCGGAAGTGAAAATAAAAAAAAAGGCATTTGTAGTAAGAAATATGTTGTTATAATTACTGCTCGATAATGAACAACGAGAGAGAATAACGAGGGCAACTTATTTTCAAATAATCACACATTACTGTTCTATTACTGTATAAATCCTAGTAGCTACTTTATTTAGCCTATTGAGCTGGGTCTTTTATTTTGAAAGTTAGAGACTTTGTTGCTTGTTGTTTTAAAATGTCGACCTCTAGTGGTTGTGACCCGCATATAAACGTTTCTATAGCCATGGTTGGGACAATAATGACAAATTATCCCAGCACAATGATAAAATAATGGGATTTTTGATATATTACATGGCAATACAGAGTAATAGCAACATAATTAATACTATATTACATTTCATTATGCTACTTATATCCCTATATAATGATACAATATATCGTTTTTATTGTATTTTCTTATTTAATCATATCATGGCCATATTCTGGTCCAGTTTTGGTTTATTTAAAAGTATTAGTTACTATATAGTGTGTGTGTATATTACATGCACTTAATATGCACATAAACATACTTACACTTATGGGATACACCTATATACCATATATAGTACACATCATAGCGGCTACAACTGGATTTATATATAGTCTATTAAATTGTAATGTATATATTGTATATAGCTTTTTTTTAATGTCATCACACTCACTTTCTGTAATTAAATAAAAGTAAAAATAAAGTAAATAATTTAATTTCTTACTTCATAGCCTGACTCTGTAACATGTCGACAGATTGTTATTACGTATTAAAAGAAACAAACAAGACAAAAGCACACAAAACCAAAAAATATCAAAGCTCATGTAGGAGGATACCATGTAAATGAAAAGAAAACTAATGAAAGCCACAAACATATAATGGCATATGAAAACGAAGTGTATTCCAGTCACGTGATGGTCAGAACTGTCTATATAGCATTCACTACATTTGCCAATCAGAACATAAAGGTACACTGTTGTAATTGCATTGTATGGTGCCTAGGTGATGCTCAAACACTTGCACAGTGTTTGACTAAGAAGACTTTGATTGCCTCTTGGCTGTTATGTGTAGTTTGCATGAAGTAAAAAAAATCTAATTAATCTTTGATGCTGCACTCAAAACTTGGTAGGATTTAAGATAGAGTGCATCTGTTTATCCAAAAAAAGCTCCGGAGAGGAAAAGACTAGATCCTAATCAATAGTCTAACATTCATTGACGTAACTAAAAATAGATGTGTGTTTTGTTGCTCCAGTTGCCATCCATTCACTTTTACTGGCAACATGACAGGAAGCGCCAGACCAAAATTAATTTGTGTCTGATCTGATTTTCTCATTTTTGTCCTAAAGTCACACCAGAGCATCAGGACACTTTGGGAGCAGTTTGGTCCATCAGACAATCTTTTGGGCAGATCAGATTGGTGCTTGTCTGCAGAGGGGTACCTGTGACCATCATTAGGGGCAGTTGAGTATCAGTTGGGTCACTGCGGAGTCACTTGAGCGAACCAGATGGACACTTGGGTCCACTCATATGTTGGGTCATGGCTGCATCTTACCAGATGACCTAACACTGACACATTTACATTAATGCCTTAAAAATGTCAGTGTTTATTAATGGGAAATAATAATACCCCCAATAAATAAACAAACAAATATACACTCAGTTGCCAGTTTATTAGGTACACTGGGTTAAAACTAATGCAGCCTAACAGTCCTGCAATAAATCCAGTCCAGTAGTCATTTTGGAGGCTGCAGTTTGTATATGTAATATATTGTATTATATCATATTAAATCATATTATTTATATATATGTATTATATTGTAATGACAGGTGTTTTATATTATGTGTCCACCCCATTTGTATCAGTGAAGGTAGACTACACAACAGAAACACCTGAAACGTCATGAAGGTATGGTTTATTGCAGGACTGTTGTATAGCTGGGTGTATCTAATAGACTGTGTACTTGTAGAACTTCAGCATGAAGGAGTTTCATTAGGACATGACCTGGATATATACAGTGTCACAAAGGGCACTTGTGCATTCAGATGTAAAAGTGCAGTGGTAGTGACTGTGTGTGTGCGTGAGAGTTAGAAGCGGTCAAATTGGATGTTGTATTCCCTTCCTGTCCTCACCAAACATTGTCAGGTCATGACTTCCGTGGAAATTCAATGCATCAGTGTGGCCTTTGCTGACTTTCTCTCCTCTAAGTCCTCTCAGGCCTCATCACCGTTTTATAGGCCTAAACATAGGTCATTGATATTTTGTAGTATTGAACAATGGGTAGTTGTATTAAGAGAATCAATAGATTGCTGCAAAAATGCCCAAAATAGAACATACCCACATTCACAGTGTACACCATACGCTACAATGCACATCCTGTAACCCCCCCACCCCCATGTGGTCTATCTGTTAGTAGGATAAACCTTTGCCAGTCCTCTGCCATGGTTAGTTTCAGGGTCCACCAGCTGAAGCTATCATCACTTTGAGGGCTGTGCAACACAGATGTAAAGGACTAATGAGAGAGTTTATTAAGAGGTGGTAATTTATCTGCAGGAGTTTCTATTTTAAATGGATGGACACATTTTCAAATCGGACAAACAAACAACAGAACTTCTTATGAATCATAGGCATAAAACCAGTATGGTATTTAGGTAACGTATACAGGTTAATAACAGCAGCTGTAGGGGCAGGTGACGGGAGACACCACCAACTCAAGACTTATCAGGTACCATGTGAGTCGGATTGCGACACAAGAGAGATTACAACAGTGTCAGGTAAGACTAATCAAGATTTGCAAGGTGTGTTCAGTTTATCTATGAGACGGAAGTGATGTGAACGCTGCACATCACACTCTTCTCTGCCCTCCACGGACCCCCCCACACCCTTCACTCCCCCTCAACCCTCCAGTACACCTGTCTGGAGGCAGCATTTCTAAACCTGAAGCCCAGGTGAGCTCAGCACACACGGAGTATGGACTCACTACGCCTGCCACAGGTGAGGACAAGCATGGCTTCTATAGATGTACATGCTTAATTACTGATGTAACCTGAAAACTTATATCAATTTATTTATTTTTTTTAGTTTATGTTTGAGAAAAAGGGTACATAAAACACAAAATTATATTATTACTACTATTAATTTTATTATTAATACCTGAATAATACATTGTTTTTACTTCACTGTACCAACATAATGGTATGATTTGCAGATTACTGTGTTGATATATTTTTCTGCTGTGATATCTTTTTTTTATGTACACAGTCATGTTTAAGTATATTTTTACTAAATAAATTAGTTTTCAAGCAGACCACAAAGCCCACAAAGCTTGTGTCGGCCAATGAAAGACAATTTGTTAATATTAATATGGAATTATATTATTGTTTAAACACATTGATGGCATTGAAATTTAGCTTGGAAACGATTGCCTGTGAAGTGTTGAAACTCAGCACATGAAACATAAGATTACTGTTCAATGAAATATATGTAGTGATATTGTTATAGACATAAGAAATTATAGAAGACAGGGCTTTAATAAATTACACATAAAACATATTTATTAAATAAAAATAAGTATGCATTAATTTATATGTAAGAGAATTGAATCAATAGTTAATGAATACATTCAAATAGCAAACTGATTAATTATTTCTCAGTGTAACACTTTTTATATATTGATTTTTGCTTGTAGCTTTCTTTCTGTGTCATACTGTTGAATGGAATTTTACTGCAGCTAGACCATGTGATGTTAAGATCAATACCCCGGCTTGTGAGAGACAGTGTGTGTGTGTGTGTGTGTGTGTGTGTGTGTGTGTGTGTGTGTGTGTGTGTGTGTGTGTGTGTGTGTGTGTGTGTGTGTGTGTGTGTGTGTGTGTGTGTGTGTATGTGTGTGTGTGTATTTCAAATGCCCTGACTGTCAAATGGACATATGTTTGTTTGCTCGTACATACTAAGAAAGAATTGGCCAACAGTTCACAATGGATTAAATACAACTAACTGTAACATTTCTGTAAAATTGGCATATTTGATTTAACTGCAGTATCTTTATAAAGTTGCTATTTATAACAACACTAACACCTTATCCAAAGACCGTTTCTTATATACATTAAAAACCATCTGTCCCCTTTGAATAGTGAAAAATACAATACAATACATTAAATCCTTATTACTAATATTTTGTGCTTTTGCTTTCTTTTCAGCCAGTGGCTGCTCAAAACAAATGCAGGGAAGACCCCAATGAGAGCCATGAAAATGAAAGCAAAGGTTTTTTTTTTATATTGTATGAAATACAAAAGAATTAAGAAGACTTTTAAAGAATTTATATAGCAGTTACATGTAATGTATTTAGTTGTGGAAAAAGGTCTGTAAATGTATTCAGGTTTTTTGTCTGTCTTAGAGGTGAAAGGGAGTCCTGCACACTCCACTGTGGCTTTGATTGAGGAGGAGCTGGAGAACACAGACCCATGGGACCTGCCAGAGCTGAAGGACACAGGGGTCCCATGGTCAGGTGAAGACTTGTAATGTCCCTATGTAAAATTTGTACTAGTACAGGTACAGAATTGTCTTATCCTTTTATTCTTAAAGGAACATGTCCTGATTAGATACAGGCCTACGTGGTCAGTGAGTAATACATTTACATATCTTCTAATGGGTCAGATACTGATAAAGTATCAGTAATATTGTTGCATAACCACACAGGAGCTGTCAAGTCCACACATACATCACATATTAATACAATTACAGTACAAATTAACTTAATTAAGTATGGAGGAACTCATTCTTACGGTACTATAAAAAGTATTCACCCCAATGGAGGTTTATGTGTTTAATTGTCTAACAACATCAGATTAGATGTGGCTTTTCTGTCTTCATGACCTCCCAGCAATATTGTATACTACAATCATTGTAACTTATCAACTACACACACGTGAAGGGAGTGGATACGTATGCAAACATGTATTTCATATATTTAATTAATGTATGTTAAATTTTGTATTTTTTCACTCAGTGTCACAAAAACCACATCAAATCTATTTTGATTTTATGTTGTAAGACAATAAAAACCAAACTTCACCAAAGAAGATTAATACTTTTTATCAGCACTGTTGAAAAGACATCAGACAATAAATCAATCTATTTATTAGAAAGCATAGAGGTCGTAAATAATAATGGATGTGATACAGACTGTAGCCAGACAGCTGAGTCTTTGCCTTCATACAAAATACATACAAAAGTTATATTGTTACAGCCAGAGGTAGTAATTCAATATTAATGTTTATGTATGACTATATAAAAGGTAGAAGTTTCTATTAGAATAATCTTCATTTTATTAACTTTATATTTGTGTGAAGGTCAGTGGATAAAAAAAGGCTAAATCTGGGTGTATCCTGGGTTTGTAGTAGGCTTTTTTCACAGCAGATATTTTAACATGGTATAGCAGAAAAAACACATGCGTGATTATAATATTAAATAAGGGCTGCACTTAAGCTTTTACTGTTTTCCTATTATTTTGCTCACTGACATGTCCTAAAATGGACCAGAGACATTATTTATGGTAATAATTATACCTGTGTTTTTTATACAATGCCAAGTTACATGTCTTCTGTCTTTAATACCATTAATTTCTTGTCTCTGTCTCAGCTCTGGATACCAGAGGAAAGGTGTTGAGAGTGTTGGTGTCGGTGGGGAAGTTTATCCTGCTGCTGGGTTTCCTCTACATGTTCATCTGCTCTCTCGACATCCTCAGCTCAGCTTTCCAGCTTGTTGGAGGTAAACATACTGAACACTTGAATGAAGCCATCTTTGGGTGTAATAATGACCCATAAACATAATATTTTGATTTGTCATAGTAGGAAAAAACATTATATTCAAGTGCTCAGTGAGTCATGACAATGTGATATAGGGTCAGAATGAACAACAACAGGACCCTGAAACTGAAGCAGCTAAATGGAATTCAGCCATCATTCTTTTCATTATTTACACTAGTGCTTTTCATACTGTGCATGTCAAAATGTCTTCAGTGAAAAGGGCTTATAACTTGGTATCAGTATGTAGCTGCTGTGTCTTCTGCACATACAAAAGCACAGTGGTGCACCATGTTTTATCTTTTTTATCTTCTATCCAGTCACTCTCCACAGAGTGAAGTTTTGAAGGGGGGAAACTGCCCTTTTTTGAATATGTACACGTTCATATCTTGTTCACCTTGTCCAGGTAAAGCAGCAGGTGACATCTTTCAGGACAACTCAGTTTTAGCCAACCCTCTGGCTGGTCTGGTCATCGGTGTTCTGGTCACCCTGTTGGTCCAGAGCTCATCCACTTCCTCCTCCATAGTTGTCAGCATGGTGTCCTCTGGATGTGAGTACAAGACTGCACACACACACACACACACACACACACACACACACACACACACACACACACACACACACACACACACACACACATCCACGCACAGTGTAAGTATGCATGAGTGATGATGATGTTGAAGATGTGGAGTAGAGGGAGGACTGATGATTAAGGAGACGTGTGTGCTTTGGCAGTGCTAACGGTCCAGCTGGCTGTTCCCATCATCATGGGCACCAACATCGGCACTTCTGTCACCAACACGCTGGTCGCCATGACGCAGGCTGGTGACCGCAGAACCTTTCGCAGGTAATCATTTTGTATTTAACCTGAAGATTTCTCTGACTCCCTTTAACTACAGTTCAGAAAGCCCACAAAATATTCTTCTCAAGAACATCATGCTCTGCTGTGAATTACTAGAATATGAGACAATCTACAACAGTATCTATAGTATGACGGTAATAGATTATCTTTTATTGCTGTATTAGTCAAGTAAATACATTGACCTGTCATAAAATAGACACAGAACCTCTTTACACATTGAGTAAGTTACAAAACATACTTTTATCGCAATCTGTGAAAAACATGTACAGCATAATATCTATGAGTTTTATTAGCTCTAATTAGCCCATATACATTATCTTCAGTATTTAATCTACATAATCTTTGCCTTTATCTAAAAACGATTAATATTCCATATTCAACCTCTAATTTATGACTCAAGTTTATCTGAAAAATACTGTACTACTAATAGTTTTACTTATCTGCTTACTTATTATAGGACTTTTCCCTGGACAGCTGTAGCTTCCTTTAGAAAGATCAAAGGTTATTTTACTTTGCATTTATCTACCTCCTTTTACAATGTACCCAGGGCTTTCGCAGGAGCCACAGTGCACGACTTCTTCAACTGGCTCTCAGTGCTGGTGCTGCTGCCACTGGAGGTCGCCAGTGGTTATTTGTACGAGGTCACCAAGCTCATCATCGACTCCTTTAATATTCAGAGTGGAGAGGCCCCGGAACTGTTGAATGTGATCACTGATCCCCTCACTGAGTCAATTATACAGGTAAAATGTCATTTATATGATGTTGTTATTACTTGCACTTACTTATTACTTATGTATGACTTATTACTTACTTATTACTTGCACATCTTTATTTTTAAAATGTTATTAGGACATTAAAGTGTTTTTCCCATTGGTGTATAGCATATTTAGATCATTGATGTATATACTGAAAAGCAGTGGTCCAGGAATCAAGCCTTGTGGCACTGGTGCATGGTGCAGGGTTTTAGGGAGGATAATTTATTCTTTTTACTTTCACACTATTGTCAACCACTTAGGTATGATTGAATCTATTTTTGTGAAGCTATGAAAAGGTCCTAGTAAGCCAGTTGTATTTGATGGCTTACTGCAGTGTTTCCCAACCTGGGGGTAATTTCACAGGGATTGCGAGGCCATTTTAAAGGATGTAAGAAAACTTAAAAAATATACACAGTTGGCGTTAGCATTTTCGTTCATTTCTGTTAAGAAAACTGAATGAAATTGTTATTTTTCTGGAAGTTTTGATAGTATGTCTGATATAATACACAATACAGACAGATAATTGTATAAAAATATCAGTAAAACTTATCTCTGATCAATATTCACAAGAAATAATTAATAATTCAAGGAAGTGGCAGCGTGGCTTTGGAATCAGGGTTTGCAATCAGTTGTTCTGCTACAATCTTGAGTGTACTGTACATTTTTTTGTGTTATCTATATGGGTCAATACTGAATTTCTTCTACCTTAAAACCAATAAATTAATAGAGATGTGTTACATGTCTCCATTGAAGCAGTATTAGCCACATTTTCTGGAAGTTTAATGTTAGTATTTGAAATTGTGTTTCTTTATCTTCAGAATGGTTATACATTTCGACATTACTCTTTCCCTGTGACTTAGTTGGATGAGTCTGTCATTAGTGGGATTGCCATCGGAGACCCAGAAGCTAGAAATAAGAGTCTCATCAAGAAATGGTGCCATACTTTCACCAACACAGTAAGACCAAAGCACGCCAGCTACATACCAAACACTTAAAAACATCCAATATTCAAATTTTTATTGTTAAACTGCTCCTGTGTTTCAGACCTTAATGAACGTTACAGTTCCTGGTCCAGAGAACTGCACATCTCCGTCTCTCTGCTGGGTTGATGGCAACTACACCTTCACACTGAAGAACATTTCTGAAACATACAATATCCAGAAATGTAAGACCAATGTGAACTGCAGAAACCGTAAACTGTAAGTAAATGTAGCATATACTTAATCTATACATGCTTCTGTGTGTCTGCAGGTAAGCATGCCTTTGTGAATGTAAATCTGCCGGATCTAGCAATAGGTCTGATCCTGCTGGCTCTTTCTCTGCTGGTGCTCTGTTCCTGCCTGGTCCTCATTGTGAAACTGCTAAACTCCATGCTGAAGGGACAAGTGGCTGCAGTCATCAAGAAAATCCTTAACACTGGTGAGCAGCACCACACACTTTATATTCAAGTGCCATAGATGTAAGTGTGATTGCACTGGTTAGTAATACATGAATGCTGTATTGTTGTGTGTATGTTTGTGTTTGCAGATTTCCCGTTTCCATTTGGTTGGGTCACAGGTTACATTGCCATTTTAGTTGGAGCAGGAATGACCTTCATTGTGCAGAGCAGTTCGGTTTTCACTTCTGCTATTACTCCACTTGTTGGTGAGAACATCCATCCATCCATCCATTCATCATCAAAATATATGTACCATTTTACAATTGAAAGAAATATTTTATACTTGCTTGTTGTCCTTATCTGTTGTTTTTGATTTCTCATTATCAAGACTAATAAATGTATCTGATTTTATGGTAAAACAGGAAGAACATAGGAAGTGATGGCAGAGAAACAGAGAGAGGGTGGGAAAATATGTATTTTTACCAGCGTCCTGTTTGTTTGAATAGGTATTGGTGTCATCAGCATAGAAAGAGCATACCCATTGTCTCTGGGTTCAAATATCGGCACAACCACCACCGCCATCCTGGCAGCTATGGCTAGTCCTGGAGACACACTGGCTGATGCTCTACAGGTCAGTAATTCACACAAAAAACATACACCTATGACCAGAAAGCATTAGATACCTAGATAAGATTTTACAGCTGGCCTGCTGTCCACTGAAAATTATTCGGAATTTACCTTTAATGATTTAGTACCCAGTATAACATGAATAGTACATAGTTCTTTCCAGGAAACTTGAATTTAACTGAAAATCACAGACCTGTAAAGTGAACATTACCAAAACGTTTTATTAAATAAAATAGTATGTAATAGTATCCAATTTTTTATTTTATGGGGAGAAAAACAATGACTGAAGCACAGCAATAAAGTTTGTTGATGATTGCTCCAGATTGCCCTCGTGCACTTCCTGTTCAACATCTCTGGCATCCTTCTGTGGTATCCAATCCCCTTCACCCGCATCCCCATCCGGCTGGCTAAAGGCCTGGGCGACATCACCGCTTCCTACCGCTGGTTTGCTGCTGTCTACATCATCTGCTGCTTCTTCATTTTACCACTCTTAGTCTTCAGCCTGTCGCTGGCTGGCTGGCAGGTACTGGTAGGCGTGGGTGCACCTCTGGTCCTCATGGTTATCATCATCATAGTGATCAACGTACTGCAGAAGCGGAGACCCGGGTGTCTGCCTGCAGCCCTGCGATCCTGGGACTTCCTGCCTCTCTGGGCCCACTCTCTGGCTCCCTGGGACAAAGTGGTTGCCGTGATGACAGCCAAATGCTGTTGCTGCTGCAAATGCTGCCAGGTTGCTGCTGACAACCAGGAACACGGAGAGAAAGAATCTGTGGAACAGAACAAGAAAGCACACACAGAGGTGTATGATAACCCTGCAATGAGTGCAGAGAAGGAGGTAGAAAATGAGATAAAGATAGAGCTGAAGATTCTGAAAATGACCCGGCTTTGAGATTGAGATTTGAGATGTGTGACGGTGGAAAGAATTGCATTGGTCAAGGCACAAACACATTTAGGCACAACTTTCAAATTTCCATCATATTTATGTTATTATTTTTATTAGATCCTTTAGTGTGACATAGGAAATGGTTATATAGAGAACACCAACTTTCAGCGTATCAAGAGCCAGACAAAGAAAATACAACATGCAGGAAAATGTTGATCTTTTAGCTGTATGGTTCTAACTGAAGTTGCCTTTAAAGGATAAGGCTAACAATATTCTTTATTGTCAACAAATCCCATGGAAACCAAAATCCCAAAATAACAATGCATCGGTCTCTTATCTCTAATCTCTCAGTACTTTCTGATTTTCTTACTGTGGCTTTCAGCTTCAAACCAATTGGCTCCTGCTGAAGATGTAAATCTTAAAAACGCCTCACAATATATAGTTTTTATAGTTTAAATTTCAAAAATATTTACAAAAACAGCCAGGTGCTGTAGTTTTCATTACTTGAACAGAAGGAAATAGTGCATTTGTTGGGGATTATTTTAAATTATTTATACAGATTAACACTATTCTAGTGAGTATTTCTGGGATTGAGAAATTATTAATCTATTATTTTATGTTTATTGTTCAGTACTAAGACAGAGAATTGCACAGGTGTATTTAATAAGATATTGTTTATTAATCGCAACCAAAGTAAATTATTTTTGGTAACGTTACCCAGCATCACTAATTAGCAAATGTCGGTGTGCTAACACTCTAAACCCGTGAACATAGTAAACATCAACGACATGATGTTAGCAAATGTTACCATTATCATTATGAACATGTTTGAAAGCTAATGTTAGCATTTCTCTCAAACCACCATGCTGCTAGCAAAAAAAAAGTCTTAGACAACAGTAGAGCTGTTTCTCACTGAGGAATAATCAGGCTTTGTCTAGATAGTTTTAGTTAGGATCAATTGATTGTTATATTTGGTCTTTTAATGGAATTTGTGGACAATGATAGAAATATATCACCAGTCTTATCCTCTAATTTTTGAGTTTCTAAGTTTAGCTCTGATTGGCTGAACAAAGTGCCACTTATATAGCATAAAATGATGAATTCCTATTTAAAATTGTACCAATCTGGTTATTGGACTTTATCTTATAATGCGATTACTAAAATGATAAAAATACAAATTAGGTATTTGATCTGATGTTGAAGATAGTCAATAACCGACCATCATTACCAACAGTTATTAAAAGAGCAGAGCAATGCCAACCTCGGTGGCTGCATTTGGTCAGCCAGTGCTGTTAGATTGTGTTGTACTGTTATACTGTGAAAACTCCTGCAGATGCCATAACATTTGTGCACTAGTATACAATAGATACAGTCTGTCTTGGTCTGATCTACAGATTGCAGGTTTGATTTGATAGACAGAGAAAACAATACTCATCATGTTTCACATTTCTATCAGGTTTCACCTTGTTTTTTTTTTTTTACAGATAATTTTTTTAAACTGTGTATAAAAGACACATTGAGATCCTTACCACATCGTTTTAAGGTGTAAAAATGATTTTGTAATTCAGAAAGATAATTCTATTCAAGGAATATGTAGTTTGGCATTAGATGGATGTACATCTAACTAAATATTTTTAACTTGCTAATGCTAAATTTTGAGTTATATACTGTGTCTCAATAATACCTATATGAGCATTTGAAAATAAAAGATGAAAAATCATACCTTATTGAAGGATTCATTTTACCGTTTTCTACTCACCTGGCACAAATGACTTGATTCATCATTTTATATGTTCCCTCATTAGCAAAAACATAAACACTAACTGACTAGAAATATTTGAGAGTACTGTTGCTTTCCTATCAGTGTGTATCAGAAGACCTTTCTGAGTAAAGGAGGAAGTGAACAATTATGACTGAAGGAACAAACAGAGAGTGTAGAGTTCGGACATGATCTGTAGCTCAAAGTATCATAAACTTTATCAACATTATTATTATTGTCAGTATTATTAATATTTTGCAATTTTTGTATTGATTGTCTTTCAGAGAGTCAGTTTCTTTTTAATAATTATTATTATATTTAAGTATCTGGGGCAAAATAAGATAAGATATACTTTATTAATCCCCAATGAGGAAATTGTGTGTTTATGCACATACAGGCCTGAAATAAATCATGCACAAACAGGGCTTATAGACATGCAAATGTGGAGAGTGATGGGCTGCCACGTAGCAGCGCTCCGGGAGCAGTTAGGGGTTAGGTGCCTTGCTCAGGGGCACATCGGCAGTGCACAGGAAGTGGAACTGGCACCTCCTCAGCTACCAGTCCACACTGTGGTCTGTGGTGAACCGGCAGGCTTCCGGTTCCCAAGCCAAGACCCTACAGACTGAGCTACTGACGCCCCACACAGCCAGTGTCCAAAATGTTGAGTGTTATACTGTCACATGTCAGTAAACCATGTGTAAAGAACATGAGATGGATTATCAATATGTCAATATTGAGGGCGCACAACTGTGCCAAAGCTCACTAATAACCATGAGACACATTCCACATGGCCACCTGACACGCACTCAAAGTAACAGTAAAGTACATTTACTCAAAGTACATTTTTGAGGTATTAGGTGAGGTGCTTTATTTTTAGCATTTTTATTGATTTAAGTTTTTTTTATTATTATTTAAAAGAACTGTAAATACTTTATTTGATAGTTTATATTTACCAACTTTTCAGATTAAGATTTGACCAAAAAAAATTACTTTTAAAAACACATTTTTAAAAATAAAACAATGCATCATTATATATTAAACCAGTATTTCCAAACCTTTTTCCTTATCTTCTACAAAAAAGTAGGGTCTGTTAGCAGGGGCCCATTGCTTCAGATGTCTGTGAGTTGTTAGCAGTTATTTCAAGAGATATTTCTCACATGGTTTATTTTAAATAACCAATTCACCAATGTCCAAAACATGATAATAAATGTGTGTTGCAGAACTTTGTTTTTTCTTCATTCTGCTCTCTTTGATCTTCTCTTGACCCCTCAGGTTTATCTTGTGACCCTTTGGAGGAGGTCTGACCCCTCGGTTGGGAACCACCTAACATTAAATTCAAACTAGCTCCGCCTAGCGATAACAATAAAATGTTACTTAGGCACTGATTTATCAGGACTAACTACAAGAAGACATAATATACTGTATAATAATAATAATAATAATAATAATAATAATATATATCATAATGTATCAGTCCCAGGAGCCATTTTTCTGCTGAAAAAGTACTTTTATTATTGATACTTTAAATATGTTACTTGTAAACCTTCTGTACTTTTACTTAAGTAGGTTAGTGAATGTAAGACTTTAACTTGTGATCGAGTACTTTTACACTTTTGAATTGGTACTTTATGAAGAGTAAAATATCTGAATACTTCTTCCACCACTGCTTGTTTCAAACTAGTGTTTTACCAAACCAGGTTGATTCATCAAACCTAAGTACAGATGCCAGTGCTTGTATTTTTTAATGTCATTATCTTGTGAATACAAGTTAATTATTTCATTATACCAAGAAAACAAGCTCTGTTATCCAGAAATAATGAGATAATTAACCTGTTATCACAAGAAAACAAAAGGTCGTTTCCTCATATTACTCACAATGTTTATCAAAGTTCAAGAGTACCATGACAGCGTGCACAGAGGGTGTATTATAGATGTAGCATTGGTTCAACATAATGGAGTGTGCCAGGAAAAAAAAAAAAGAATTAGGCCATTGCAGGGAATTTTGAGCTCATCTAATAAATGTCCCCGGATATATTTTGTCAATTAAACTCATGTACATTTGTGTAACATTTCTTTTCAGGTCAGTTTTGAATCTTCCCTGACAGTCATGAGAGTGATCTTGAAGACTGAAATTAAGAAAATTAACAAAAAACATAATTTAGCTAGCTGTATCTCTACATAAGAACTAGTTTGAATGGTGCAACCAGTTTTAATTTAGTCAATGCCTGACTCTCCACTTGGTCAACACTCACTGTAACTGGGCTAAGGTTGAACTTAAGAAGGACTGTGTGTGTGCATTGAAAATCAAGAGAGGATTTTCTTTTTTTGCTCTCTCTGTTAATGATAAAACAGTGCACAGGCACAGTGTACTCATCCACGGGCCACATGGTGTCTCAGCACATGAGAATGTGTGTCATAGTTGTAACCAGTCACTGATTGAGCAGACGGCGCTCCTTTTGATCAGGCTTGCCTCTTATCTGTGCTCGAACCATAACTGTTTTCATACTTTTCATATTGAAACCTCCATCTTCTCCCATGTTATTGTTTGTTCCGTCTTAACTAAATTAAATCCATTGCAGTCATGGTTGGCAAGATTTCTATAGCCATAATTTAGGTAAGTTTCAGAAGGTATGGTAGGACTTGTATGTTAAGGTGAATTATATTCTTCACTAATTATGGCAAAGTGTAGACTTGTAGGAGCATAATAAACAGGTAGCACAAATCCTCTCCGCTATATTGTATTTATTCCCCCACAGAATTACATTGAAACATCATATGTCTGTCTTTTCAACTCTGGAAACTAAAACTAAACTACTGCACTTTTGCTTCATCAGACATCCACCAATATGAATAACAGAAAAAGAAAGAAGAAAAAAATCATACACATTTGCCTCCAATATGCTCCAGTTTGCAACCTCAAATAGCAATAATGTTGTAAAAATCATCTTATTACACAATGTCTAGCAGCATTTTGTATCAGCTTGTTTTAACTCTTGATTAAAGCTATATATTCAAACTCAAGACTCCAGGTTTATTGTGGCAATCTAGATGTCTTGTATATCATTTTACACATTTTCTGCAAAATTCATTCAGCTTTATGTATTTGGTATCTTTGGAAATCCAAACAATGAGCTCTGTAGTAGAATGTCTGCAGGTTTTGTTGCACTGCAGGAGTTTGCTCATCAGTGTGAACTGATACAGCAATGTTATAAATGTATGTCACAATGATATTATGTATTTTTGTCTTGGCAGTGAATTTTCAGGTCATGTGACTCATGTCCAGCTCTAACATGCCTTTACCAAATACCAAGAAGAGATTAAATAGTCTCCCCAGCTGTTTAAGTGTTTTCATGTATTCCAATTTAATACTGGATTAAGTCCTGACTTGTGGACTGAAACGTCTGCTCAATTCTGTGACCGACCAATGCTGTCATCTAGTGGCAAATATGAGAGCAGCAGTACCACAGAAGAGTTATAGACTGCCAGTGATGATGTGTTGTCTACTATATGTATACAATAGAATGTATTTTAGCCAGCATTAAAACAGCTATATTCAATATATATATATATATATATATATATATATATATATATATTAACAATGGATTACATGACTACTTGTTTAAGGTGTCACTCGTAGAGAGGACCCCACAGTAGATTATCAGATATTATAATTCTGCCATTCACTTCACCTCTGATTGACTTGTATCTTGCAGCTTGTTGCTTTGGTTGTAATTTAGTGTTTTGTGGTTCACTCTCACAATTCTCATTGTGTGGTTTTCGACTGCAGAAGGCAGCTGTTTTCTACCTGCCCTGATTGACTGTGTAAACGAAGTGGAGCATTTAGCAGCAAAAGAGCTATCTCTAGTTTGTGCCTCTGTTTTAGCATTAATTCAAAAGAACAATTAAGAAGAGATGTTTAAAAAACCCAGAAGGTTGTCTAAAAAACACTGTTGTTCTGAAGGTATTTCTAGAAGACCCTTCTAAACTCTGGATGAACAAATATTCTGTCCTCTGAATGATAAAATACATTTTTAACCTGTTTCCCAGTTGCGTCTCTATTGCAGAACTGAAATAAAGATGGCAGGCTGTTAACCACCTGGATAGTAAACAGAGTCGCAACTTTCATATCTGCATCCAGGTGTGTAAATAAGTTTGCTCAGAAATGCGCAATATAAAATTTATAAGATAACAGTATGTTGTTTACAGCTTGTGTCTACTGCTCCCAAGTGGCCCCAAAAATCTGTTACTGTAGATTTAAAGGTAAAATGTCATTCCTTACATCAGGGGCTACCATCAAAACATATTTAGTGAGGACAAAACAACAATTGGACAAAACAAAATAATTTATTTCTTTCAAAACCCAGAGGCAATTTGTGGTTACAGTCATTACAGTTAACTGATGTGCATCTTACACACACTGTACACTACCACTACCACTATCAGTACACTACTACTAAACTACAGTATCTCTAAGATCTCATTACTCCATCCACTACTTACTAGAACTACTACTTCTAGTTAAAGTAAGACTAAAGCACAAAAAAAAACCATCAATACATTAACATAAAATACATTTGCACTTGTAGCACCATTCATTTTATTATACTATAGACGTGAAGAATAATTTAATCTTGTGTGGGCTACTACATACTTCACAGGCTTGTGTTTCCATGTGCCTCTCTCTGAAAGCCTGGAGGAGGCCTTTTCATACAAGACCACTAAAGCTGGTCACTTGTGCAAGAAATTGTGCCTAAAAAAAAATATCTCAATCTAGCATCATAACATGGGCCAATTTTCTTTCTTTTTTTTGTGACTGTCTGCTCCTTTAGATGGATTCAGGGGAGTTGTTGTGCCGTTCTACTACAAAATGAGAAAAAGAAAACAGTTCCCACGTGGATGAAAGATGAGTCTTTAACTTAGAAGGGGACAGGTCCATAGTAGGCAGTGTATGCGGCAAC